ACACACATACAGCATATATTTTGAAAATATTTACATGTATTTAAATGTATATATTTATATTCATATAATTTATATCATATATAAATATATTTAATATATCAACATAACATATTTTTCTTAAATATATACATGCATGTGTTTGTATTTATATATACATAATAAATATACACAGTACACATACATATATTATGTAAACAAAAACTTTTATTTTGGATGTGATTAATCGTTAATTAAAAATAAATATTAAAAATGTTAAAAATAATTATTTCGTAACGTGTATAACTCTTGCAGTCCAATTAAATAATGAACCGGTGGAGTGATTATGGATAACATGAGGGAATACAAGGTCAATTTGAGTGCATTGCATTATGGGATAGAGTTCCTAGCATAATATGCTCAGGTCATCCAGGTCTTGTTTGCATAGAGAACATATGCTTTCACAGTATGCATACTTATACACTTGTGAAATATTAAGTATGGTAGTGGGTTTGTGAACATAACCAGTCATTCCAGCTGTCAAATGAGACACGTAATAACTAACACAATATATAAAGGCCTTTATTACTGCGACTTCTCTTCGACAGTATTGACTTTAAGCCACTCCTAATCGGGTTTTGTGATGCTTCGGTGCAATTTTCAATTAGCGCTGAACATTGACATGTGACACATGACTGAAGCAGGAGATTAATATGGAGAGAAATGAACTGAGAGCTGAAGAGAAGAGAAGAGCTCACCAAAGAAAAGCTGCTGCATGTCTGACAGACCATCGACAGACCAAACGAATAACTGAGCTGCTTTCTAATGGAAATACTGTTTCTGACAGATCAGTGTTATTGGAGTCAGGAAACCTGTCATAAACATGTCCAGGTCACATTTCACCCCAAGATATATAAAAAAACATACATAATTATATTTTGCATTAGGAAAACTAAGCCTGTTTTAGAATCATTATGATTTCTTATATTCTGATATTATTTTCATGACATTTTATGCACATTTTTACCCCATATCCTGCATCAATTTTATTTTATTTTTTTTCTTTCTAATTTTTATTATTCTCAAAGGAGATTCACATTACAGTATTTATACATGTAATATACATTTAATAAAAGTAGCATTAAAGATAATATACAAATTATTTTAAATAACAGTTATTTAATTTTACATCAATATTATATCATTATTTAAATATTTCTTTCTTTCTTTCTTTTTATTTAATTTTATTTATTTTTATTTTTCTTTAATTATTTACTTATATTTATTATTTTGTTATAAATATTTTTGGAGATAATTTAACCCACCTGTCACATTCATCCACCTTTTATTATTAAATAATAATAATAATAATAATAAATAAAATAAACAATAAATAAATAAATGAAATGAAATAAAATTCATATAAAATATATACCCCAAAATATATAAAATATTTGTATATACATACAAATGTCAGACCTATTTTCTTTCTTTCTTTTTATTTAATTATTTACTTATATTTATTATTTTTTATAAATATTTTTGGAGATAATGTGACCCACCT